ATATAGTTGATTTGCTATCTGTACAAATAATTGCTTTCAATTTGGAATTTGAAGCGAAAATGATAGCGTTGAGGATCGCTGCGGCTTCTGCTGTGTAAACAGAGGCGTAGCTTGGCAGGATTCCAACTTTAATTGTTGCTCCTTTGTCGTCGACAACTGCGAATGATGTACTTGTCCCGTTTTTGGATCCGTCCGTGAAGATAAGTTGTAGACTCAGCAAAGAGTTGTTGATAAATGGCGGGGTTGGAATTYTTGTTGAATTTCTCCAAGCTTAAAATGAACGRTGTATGTTTTATCTGCCAGGTAGGAAATACTTCTCTCTGCCGCAGYGATGGCACTTTGATTCCAAGCTCTCTGGCGAGTTCTATACACAGTGAAATTGTCGATTTACGTCCACGTTTGATTTCCCTTTGGATGTCCGATCTTACTGTTTCGTAAAGAGTACTGTKGTAACATGTTAAAAGCTTAGGTATACGTTTCATTAGGTTCAGTTCGAATCTCTCTTCGATTGTAGGTAAGCCGGCTTCGACTAGGACGAATTTGGTGGGCGATTTTGGAAATGCGCGGATGCTTCTGCTTACTCCCATGTGGTACGGAGAGTACAGCTTTTTGATGTGGATTTTCGCGCAATTACGATAGATATCTATCTATCTTCGACAACACAAGCGCCCTCGTTACATTTATTAGAGTTGCAGAGTTGATTAAACAACATTTAGATGATAAATATTTGATAATATTCAGTCGGGCAGCCAGTTGCTTTCTTAAATATAAACAATGTTCCTTAAAGGTAAGTTTCTTATCAAAAATTGCACCTTAGAACTTAAGACTATTAGTGTTTGAGAAAGGGCTGTTATTGTAAATAATTGTAAAGTAATCACATTTGTGCTTGCGACAAATGTGGAAATTTTTGCATTTATTTACAGCCACAGCCATCAACACATCATCTGCATAGCAAATATGATCAATATTTATATATTTATTAATTATATGGCTCACTTCATTAAAAGCAGCGATCAAAAGGGATACAGAGAGGGGAGACCCCTGGGGTATTCCGTTATGGAGAGTAAACGGGTCTGACAAAGTGTTGTTGACCTTACAGACGAATCTTCGGTTTGTGAGGAATGACTGAATGAGTCTTAGAATATGGCAACCAATGCCCCATTTTTCGAGTTGCCGTAGTACAACGTGGACTCCAACCCGATCGAAGGCCTTTTCGAAGTCAATGCTAGGTGCAGAGAGGTGGTTCCTGTTTGCTAAGGCTGAAGATGCATGATTTTCAAAGAGCATCAAAGCATCAAGGGTGCTTTGCCCGTAGTTGTAAGCCATTTGCTGAGGGCTCATGGAATTATTGGTTACGGCATGCCACGAAATACGTCTGGCTATAATTTTTTCGAGTWGTTTTCCCAGGCAATTCAGTAAAGAAATAGGCCTAAAACCTGAAGTTTCTGTAGAGGGGTTGCCAGATTTTGGAATGGGGACAACGAGTGCGCGCTTCTAAGCCTGAGGAAACGTACCTTGGCTTAAGATGTTGYTATATAGCATTAACAGTCTTGTCTTCATACATGGGGGTAAGTGTTGCAACATAGGATATGATATTCTGTCAGCCCCGGGGGTTCTCCCACTTAAATAAGATAGAGTTCATTCGAATTCAATGTTATTGATCTTGCAGTCGGTTATGCTCTCTGAAAGGAAAGTAGGGTGGAAATTTGAATCGTGTGAATAATTGGACCAGTACTTTTCGAAGTGATTTGCTATTTGCTTATGGTCAACGATAGGGCCATGTGCGCTATTAATTGAAGTAATAT